GCATTTCTCCAGGCTCAGCTGCTGTTTACAGGGTTCTGAGGTATCTGTCAAGGGGTTGGGGAGAAATGTGCTGCTCCCTTGGGCCCGACAGCCTCAACCCCACTTGTGAAATACAGATAATCGGGACCCACTGGCCCTCCCTACCACTCTGCAGATCTTCCCCATTTCTGGTTTCTGGAGAGACCTTGCTTTCCATTGCAGAGAGCCTGGGCTGGGTAAGGAGTAGCACTGTTGGCAAGAACTGGCGTCCTCCTTTTGACATTCAAGGCAGACAGGCTAGGAGCTTGCTGGTCCCTGTGGGGAGCAGGTCATAAAGAGCTTGGGGAGTCAATTCCAAGGGCACAGCCCCTTCCTGCACACCAGGCCCTCCCCTCCTCCCACCTCCCCACAGGCTGCTCCAAATAACAGGCTACTGCCAATTACAAAAGGACTCTTAACTCTGTTTCGCAGGCCCCTTGATTGATCGCACTGGTGAGTGAAATTATAAGCCTTAATGATCACGTTAATTTCTGGGGAAAGACGGTCAGAAGAGGTTCTCAATCATAAGCGCCACAATCAGCTGGGTGAGTTCAATGACAGGCCAGAACAGGGAAAGAAGGGAAAGAATTAACTTTTTTAAAGGTCACCAGTAAGTGCGGGGACAGCAGCCAGGCAAGAGGGATGAGGGGCACGGATGATCCTGGACCCTGAACAGGAACCCCTGTCCCAGGGCTCCCGGCCAAAGGCACTATCATTGCTGTTCATCCTCAATCGCACCCTGGGGCTGTCGTGGAGCTTTCTAAGGCTGATGCCCGGGCTCCGCCCAAGACACTGCATGATTGGCCTGGGGTGCAGCTTAGGCGCTAACAGTTTCGGCAGCTCCCCAGGTGATTCTGTGTACAACCAAGACGGAGAACAACTTGCCTTGATGAAAGGATTTAGGGGGCTAGAAGTCAAAGCTGAGCACAGGTGGAAATGCACTTAATCTGATTAGTTCTTGCCGCCAAGGAGACTTCGTTCTCATGGTCTCCTGGCCCCACTTAAAGATGATGGTGATGAGAAGAGAAAGAGGGAAATTAGGCCTCACTGAGCCTAGTGTTCCTCGCACGGACCAGAAACACTGAGATGCAGAGATATGAACTGACTTATCACAGTGGTCAAAACTAGAACCCTGCCTTTTCACCCTGGCTTGTGCTCCTTCCACTGGGTTTATCACTCAGCCAGGGCAAAGAAGGTGTCCCGGATGACACTCCGGGGCGTGGGGTGGGGGTGGAGACAGGAGCTGGGAGCCACTCTTCCCCTCTCATGGCAGAGGAGTCCAGGACACCTCTGTCCCTTGCTCAGTGTCCTGGGACATAATGATCGCCATTTATTAGAGACACAAGGGCCACAATAAGGACACCTTTCTCCGCCTGAAGGTCAAACCTACGACCTTGGCCTCCTAAATACTTTAATCCTACTCACCATTTTCCAGCAGAGCGCTGCAATATTCTGTCATGTCAGAAAGATGCCCATGCTATGTTGGTAACATCTCAGTTTCCTCACTGGAGAGACTTCCCTCTGCACGTTGCTGATGAGCTCAGTGGGCAGCTGGAAGTCCTGGTGACCTTTCTTCACGGTCTATGTGCATGTCAGCAATATTTGGAGAAAAAAAGAGCCACTTCATGTTCCAAAATGAGCTTCAAAAACCCAAAAGCATGATTTAAAATGCAGACTACATAAAAATTTGTCATTTGCAGTAAAGATATTAGAGTTATTCAGTTAAAGTTATTGTCCCTCAATTTCTGTGATTATAAAAATGCCATCATGAAGGGAATGACTTGAGATTCTCAGAGCATCATCTTAGCAGCAGGAAGGTCTGCCAACTGCTTCGACATTTTCATTTATCACTTCAACCTTCACTCTAATGTGGGTGCTCCCAAAAGTTCACAGAAGGGGCCTGGACCACAAAATTTGAGGACCCAAGCTCTAACCATGGGTACAGGATGAGACCTACTTGCCCAGTTCAGTAAGCATTGTGGCAGAGGCATATTCATCATAGAAACATATGCATCCTCTGTATTTTTCTAACAGCTTCTGAAGTGTTCATCAAGCCTCTGTCTGATTAAGCACTTCTAAATTCTGAGCAATGAAATGGTTCCTCTCATGCCCTCTTGGCAGGAGTGCAAATTGATACGATCCTTTTGGAGAGCCATTTGGCTGTGTGTATGTATCACAATTAAAAATGCATATAATCTTTGACCCAGAAATGCCACTTCTAAGAGCTTAGTGTACAGAGATACCCTCACAAGTCTACAGAAGTGTACACAGAAGGGTGGTTCTTTACCATGTACAGTATTAGTGAAACACTACAGGCAACCCGAATCTAGCAATAAGGAATCTGTTGAGCAAACTGTAGGACATCCATAAGATAAAATACTAGGCAGATGTTAAAAAGAATGAGTCAGGGCCATATATACCAACAGGAGAGACACACATGCACAAAAATAACTTGCAGAAAAATAGATTTCCATTTTTATAGAAATGATTAAGCACAGTAACAACAGTGCAAGTCTCTGGCCAATGCATTCAGTTTGTGAATTCCTAAATTGGATTGAACACTTTGATCCCCAAATGAAATAATCTAGGAGTCTCAATTCAGTTTCTGAACTCATCCTCTGTTCTTCCTCTTCCCTAGTATCCAAAAATAACTAAAAAGGAACTCAAACCTAAATGTAAAACTTCATACCTAGTTGTCACAGTGTATAAATGATACTTTTGAAAAGTGACACTTCCAAACTTCGGAAAACCATTTGTCAAAGGAGAAGCAATGAAGACTGGTTTTTGGCTGCAGTAATCATTTGGTTGGATTCATCTTCTCTTGTTTGTGTATTTAAATCACATGTATTAAAATTGTATATCTTGAATTTATATATTCAAATACTACTGCAGCACCTACCCCACAACACCAGCCTTAACATCCAGGTAAGCAGTGAGGTTCTTAAAATACCTAGGCTGGCCCTGGCTGGGTGGCTCACTTGGTTGAAGCATCGTCCCATACACCAAAAGGTTGTGGGCTCCATTCCTGGTCAGGACACATATCTAGATTGCAGGTTCAATCCCCAGTTGGGGTGTATGTGGGAGGCAACCAATCAGTGCTTTCTCTCTCTCTCTCAAATCAATAAACATATCCTTGAATGAGGATTAAAAAATACCCAGGCTGCATCTGTTTTTTAACACCCAGAAGAGATAGCTGGGTTTTTAATTCTGGGTTTTTCAAACGTTGCAAACCAGGTTTGATTCTTATTTGTAATGACAGAGATGCCCAAAGCAAAGGTAATTCCAGAGGGAATCAGTATTTGTGTCATGTCACAGGCAACTTACTTCATTTTAATTTTTCTGAGATTATTTAAAATAGATTACAGTAGATTATGATTGATAGATTTTATTATAGGTGAGTAATATCCCCCCTTCCCTCCTCCGTGAGAGGAGTCCACTTCCCTAAGCACTTGAGGTTGGGTTTGGCCAGTGGAAAGTGAACAGCATGACGTGGGGCAGCAGCTTTAAACGCATGCACATAGTTTGGCTCAGCTTCATGCACTTCTGCCCTCTTCCAGGCAAAGACATCGCTTTAGGGAAGTCATCAGCCCAGAATGACGAAACACTAGAGCACACTTGAACACAAATCACAACCAAGAGCCAGGCCCAGCTGAGACGGGAGACTGGCAGTCCCATGAGCAAAGTACAGGTTTGTTCTTGTAAGCTTGGGGTTATGATTCAGCATTACTGAAGCAAAGCTTGACTAATGCATGGGTGAACTGTCTTGGACCCATTACTCATCTTTAACAAATCTTGACATTGATCTCATATTTGTTTCTGATTCTTTGTCTTTTGAAAGAAGCCCATTCAGAAACATTTGAGGTTCCTCTTGGTATCCTCCCCCAATCCTGTCTATTCCTAGAGTCAACCACTCTCCTGTAATCAGTGTTATCACTCTCGTGTGTATTCAAACATTTTCTGTACATTTATATACATTCTATAAACATGACCTATGTATAGAAATGCCATGCTGCACCTGTCATCTGCGATTCACTTCTCACCTCCCTCCCCAGTATTGCTGTATTTCAGGTTCGCTCCTATTGATTTGTTGGCTCCAGTCTGCTCACTCTCCTGCGATGCTGTCTGTATTTCCCACCATGTATCTATTCTGTCAGTGGACACTGTAGTTGTTAAATGTGAATAGTGTTTCAGGAACATTTCTGCACACATCTTTGAGTGCCTTGCTTTTCTTTAAGACTAACTTCTCTGTGGAATCAGCAGACAAGTGCATGGCTGATTGCCACACGTGCAATCTGCAAGGGCAGTTTGCCGACAGTTGTAGTGCTTCTGCTCCAGACTTGCTGGGGCTGCTCCCCAAGAGGAATCCATGATGCCCGTGGCCTTGGGCGCCTCTGATTTCCACCCCTGACCTCTGGCTGTGGACCCAGTGCCCTGAGACTTCCTGGGAACATCTGACTGCACTTCCTACTGCTCCTTCCCCATTTTACTCCACAGTAAAGTTCTTCACACTTTATCTTTTTTGATCATTAAATGATTTTAAGTTCCTGGTCAGGACTGAAATGTTGGCAAGGAGTTAGAAACAGAGGAGTAAGTGAATGAAGACTCTGTTAATCGTCCTCTTTCCTCCTCACACAGCAATTTTTCTAACAGAGGCAATTACATTTGAGAGCTGCAGAGAATGGAATCTTATGTTGTATTTCTTTATTCATCATTTTACAAATGGGATTCACTGTAAAAAGGAAATTGCCTTTGTAGTTCAGTTCTTCAGGCTGGAGAGCTCTGAGCTTCAGTTTCGACACCAGCTGCTGCCGCCACCTTGTAAATGCTGGGTGAGACCTGGCCAGGGAAGGAGGCTAAGAAATCAGACAGAGTCCAGTTCCTTTAGATTCAATATATTTTTATTCTTTGTAAATACAATGAGTACAACCTTTTTAACTTCACAAATCAGTTAATTCACTTTGTACAAGAAAAGTTTTACTCAACCTATGATAGTTCAAGTGCTGAATATTTTTCCTCAGTGCTAGAACCTACTAAATCAAAATGTGAAAAGTACAGCAGCTATTTTAAAATGTTTGTTTCTACATTTCCATAAGTATAGGTTCATACCAAAGGAGCAGCGTGTAATGTAGCATGGGGTGTGTGTGTACAATGCACACAGTCAAGGCTTTACTAGAAACCAGTGTTCTGAAAGGCATTTAAGAGTCTCAGGCTGTTAGCAGTAGATCAGCTGAGCAACCGCGTAGTGCTCACCTCCTTGAGGTCCCTTCGGCATCACGTCTGTGTTCGTTTCCTGGGTGGTGTGACTCACTGAAACATCAGCTTGGACCCTCACTGCCTTTGGTTTCAGCACTGTTTCAATGGGACAGCAACCTGCCTCACTCAGTCGCTCACCTCTACTTTATTTGGTTTTGCTGTTTTTATTCTTCCTCCCTCACCTTCTGTTCTTTTAGTAAAGCTCTTCTATTTTTGAGATGTTATCCAACCTGAAGTCCTGGTGAGAATTTCACTTTCATCCACCAATTCTTCTGACAAGGTTGCCTGGCCTACGGTATTAAAAGAAGAACGAAAGAAAGGAGAAAGGAAAAAGCGAAAAAGCCAATCTCAAGGCATAAGCTACCTTTCACTTATTAACTCAGTTCTGAAGGTCACTTAATGATGCATTACAATAGAATGGAAACTTTTGATAAAACGTTTGATTTTCAACCTAACCATTGTTTTTAAAATGAAGTCTCCACCATAAGATGGTTCTAAGGGCTGCTGCATGGTGTTACGCACAGAGCTGTATTTGGTTACCCAACTTTATGTGCTAAAAAGGAAAAGAAAGTTCTACTTGTGTTTCAGCATATGATGTTCAGAGAGATCTTCCAGGTGAGAGGCAGAGTGGCATGGCCCACGGCAACCCTCAATTTGGTCCCCTCCCAGGGCACAGCAGCAGCACGTTATCTGCTCAGGTGGTCCTGTTATACCCCCTTTCCTTTCAGGCTGCCCTACCCTAGGTGAGGCAGCAGGTCAAAGCTCCTGGAACTGTTTTGTGTCAATGGACTTTTTTTTCCTGAAGGCTCCACATCCCCAGATGTATGTTTCCTGAAGGGTTTGTTAGTTGAGGCTTGTCCTCCATGGGGACTGTCCCATACAGAACAGTAGGGACTTGAAGGGCTTAGATATCACTGGATTTGTACATATCTGAAAGCAGTCTTGTAATTGGCACGTTGCCGATGGTCTTTTTGAAAAACACTTCTTCTATGGTTGATGGGCTAATGGAACGCAAAGCTGGCAAAAGCAGCAGAAGTTTTCCAAAGCGACAGGGCTGAGTGGGATATCTGGAATAGAAGCCATGAGAGCAAGGTCAGATCCATTACCACTGGGAACTGACATATACTTGAACACACACCCTCTCCAGCACCATGTCCTGGTGGGGCCTCTTTAGTAGCACACTGTCCATGCAGCAGAGTCCCAGACAGGCACTACTGTCCTTGCTTCGCACAAAGATAATCTCAGCCTAGGGAACATAAATGATGTCCAAATGACATGATGATTGTCTCAACATTAGCAAAGGGGTTGCATTTTGTTTGGAGAAAAAAAATTGAGAAACACAGTACTAAGTTTAAGCTAAATAGTAAATGCAAGGCTCCTGGTATAGGAGCTAGTGGTAGTATCCATGTCTTCTGATCTTCGAGGTTCCTTCTTTGCAAGGCAATTTCCCTCAAATAAAATGGATTCCTTTTCTAGGAAATTCTCCAAAATTATTATTCAGGCATTATACTTAGTCACTTTCAGGAATAATTCTGTCCTTATTACACTGAAAATTAAAGACTAAGTTCTGTTGGGTGGCAGCGCCACCCAACTTTCATGTCAATGAAATTGACATGTAGTTAAAGATGTGAGAAATTGCTTAACAATTTCCTCTCTTAATGTCCAACACACATCAGTGCTCAGATGTGCAAGTTCAATTTTCTACTGCCTTCTGATGCCTATAAGTCACCTCCTCACTGCAGCTCCGAATCAGTAGCTTGGAATCAGGTATCCATACACTCCACAGGGGTTGGGGGGCTCCCTTCACTGAAACAAATGACCTGAGATACTGAAGTCTGGGGTCACATATCTGTGAATGGCCCAGGCTCAGCCAACAGCCACAAGGTGTTAGAAACTGACAGATACGGAAATCCCTCCATAGGCTTTAGCTAGCTGAATACTGAGTTTAGCTGCCCCGCAACTCCACCCTACAAAAACTAGAGTCCAGGGAAGCAACTTTCCCGCTTGTCTCCTGGCTTTGAGCACATGAGGGTTCCTCTCTGCAACTTGATACGAGGCTGGTAGTTCATTCTGAGCCCCTGGGAATCTCACTTGGCTCTTTCATCGCCAGCCTCAAGAGCACCCATGGACGGGGAACACCATATCACCTTTAATAATGTAATATGGAAATGGTGAGGCTTATCTACATTTTGTTTAAAGCCTAACTTCCATCACTTACTTTCCTTACTAGAAATACCTCCTATGTTTCTTTGGAAGAAATCCCAAGACCCACATCTCCATTTTGCCTTGGACACTTACTCTCTTTAATAGCTCTGTTTCCCTGCCCAGGACCACCAGGCGGAAGGAGTTTCCCTGCAGTGGGTGGGACACAGCAGCTGCTGAGACCAGCCTCTCGGTGTCTGCAGCATCCACCTAACAGCTGGGAGGTTCCCAGGGTGAGAAACAACTGTGGGAAGTGATTACTCCTAAAAAGGATGGATTTTGGAGAATCCATAGACACTTAACTCCTGATTTTCTATAAATAAGTGATCTATTCACTTTCTCACCCACTTATTTTATTCTCCAGTTAAGGAGGGACTGGTTAGTCATTCAATAAGAATTGTCCTTTATATGCGAAGTACTATGCTACCGAGAAGTAATAAAAACGTGTGTGTAAGAAAGAGAGAGACAGACACAGAGAGAGTGTGTGTCTCTGATAGCTCAAAATTATTTTTTTAAAAATAGCTGTGTCCCTGGTTTCATCCACTGGCAAAAATAACTGGGAGTGTTCTCTCAGGTGTGTTTGAGTCTGTCACAGATCCGTGTATTCGATCTTTGACTGTAACATATGGTTCGTGTGAAGTGCCCATTCCTAGCTTCCTCCTTATATCATAGGTATTTGGAGAAGTAGCTTAGAGAGGTGTAACAATGAGCTCAGTTTGTAATCTCAGCAACTAATGGACAAGTAGTTCAGGTTGCTATGTTAACTTTTCATTTCGATTTCCGATTTCATTTTTCTAGACGGGAAAGTGTGAGAGGAAAATGTTCACTGATTTGAAGGACCTAAGAAATAAGGAATAGTCAGTTTTGTCACATGCATGAGTCTATATCTTAATATTAAATTATAGCCCTGGCTGCTATGACTCAGTAGATTGAGCAGCGGCCTGTGAATCAAAAGGTCACTGGCTCAATTCCCAGTCAGGGTACATGTCTGGGTTGCGCAGACCAGGTCCCCAACTGGGGGAGTGTGAGAGGCAACCAATTGATGTTTCTCTTCCTCTATTACTCCCTGCCTTCCCCTCCCTCTAAAAATAAATAAAATCTTTTTTAAAAAATTAGAACTATAGCAGGAATCATGAAACAAGAATAAAGCAGGTGAGGTCCCTACATGAATAATTTTCTTGTTTTGAGCGTGGGGAAGAAGTACTATACTTGCTACTTCTCTAAAATAGACTTTTGTTAATTTATGGTTTAATTCTCTCAGGCTCTCTCAGATTCTCCCCAGTCACCGCTCCGGCACCTCCCACAGCACCTCTACCAGCCCCTCTCCTGGATCTAACAAACACCCCTTCTCCCTGCCATTCAAGGATACCAGCTCATGTGTTGTCTCCTTCATCGATCAGCCTTTCCAGATTCTCCCTCATCCCACCTCCCCCAGCTAGAATTCATCTCTCCTTCTCCCCACTTGGCTTTTCCCTCTTCTCGGGTCTGAACCGGAGCAACACTTCTACCTATTTCATGGAGCACGAAGGGGCGGTGTCTTGCTGGCCGGGGTCCCGCGTGCTCACCAGCACAGAGCCAGCATTCAGCGAAGGCGGGACTGCATCCATAACAGGGTGTCATGTTCTTCTCAGTTTAATGTTCTTTACACCTTAATGGCTCTCAATAGCAAAGGCCAGTTCTAATATACAAATTAGTTTTTAAGTGGGGAAATTTGGTGCTGGCCCATTTTATAATTTTGAACAAATACTCAGTGCCTATTATATACATACTGAAATGTAACATGGATTTTAAGTTTATAAACCATGGCACATTGCACTATCACACAACACAGTTTCAATGGTATTCCATGGACAGGGAACAATTTTATTCAATAGTATTCAAAAGAGGATTTGTAATAAAAATAAGGAGATCCTAGACAAACAGGTATTACTCCAAATGAATACAGTTGACTCGGGGTTTCTCTCACTCCTCACATAAGGGGGATGTTCACAGCCTCTAGTCGTCTGATTTAGTTATTCCAAAGCAATGTCTCTGGTGATACTGAGACAATAGAGACAGGCTTCCATGGACTTCCCTTTAAGACCAACCTAGAGAGTAAGTAAGAATAGCAACTCTATTCTAACCTCAGATTCACCACAGACCTAGCAATGTTCCATACCTCTTTAAAGTTTTGCCTTTTTCCCTCTGAAAATGGGAACAGAAAGTCTGTACTTCCTGGTGAACTTGCCCATTGGTGGGCCAGCAGGAGGCCCAGAGGCTGAGAGTTTCTAGAAACAGACAAGCACAGCCTCTGCCAATGGGCCCTGCTTGGCCAGACATACCTGGTGGGTGCTAAGACTCCACATAACTCAACAGATAGCAGTCAGCAGTTATGATGAGGGTAGAGATAGCCTCTCTAGAAAGTTCTTTAGTCCTTCTATTTGGGGTTGGCATCCAAAGAAAGGCACTTGCCTCTTTTAAAGGATGACTTGACTACTTTGCACTATATCAATTATAACACTTAGCCTTCATTTTTTATCTTTCCTATATCTGGATCCATCCATACAAATGTATTTGACTATTTTATGAATCAGCTTGTTCAACCAGGTCAGCCATAAGGCATCTGGCCATCTGAGTGATGATCTAATTCGACTTGCTCCTCTCACCCACCTTGTGAGAGATAGGTAAGGACATAAATTCTAAGTAAATTAACTTGCTGGCAACAGAACAATTAGTCACAATGTTTGAACTAGCTTATTACCCTCTGCTTACACATTCACAATGGAAGCAATTTTCTTAAGGACACATTCAAGGCAAACAAGAGTTACCTGGTGTGGATGTAGCTGTTGAGAGTTAGCTGAGCCTCGTCTTGAAGAGCTGCAATGGCAGCAGCATTCCGGAAACTTCGCAGTTCAGAACCACTGTGTGTAGGAACTAGAAATGAAGACCAGCAAACTGTGAGGCAGCACAGGAAATGCAGATGGGGAAAGTGCTTGTCTGGAAGTGGATAGCTAGCAGGAGAACACACAGATCACCACAGCTACTAAAATGGAGCCAGACTAAGAGTCTCTGCTCCCTTGAAAACTGTCACTTCTTCTTGCAAAGCTAAGTCTGGACTTTGAGGTAGCTGAACTGGTGAGGTGGTGAAACTGGGGAAGAAGAGACGGGGGTTTGTGTTCGCTTACCAGCTTTGAAAGTGACGATGCATTTTAGACAGGCAAATTCGGTAGCATCTAGCCGGAGTTGCCTAAACCGAGCCACCACCTCTTGTAAAGCCTGTATTTCAGATATAATCTTGTTCAGCTTCTGGGAATCTGTGTTGTCACCATTCATGCCTAGAATAAAAATATGGAATAAATGTTATAATATGAAGGCATTTTCATAATTTAATATTGATTTTTGACAAAATTCTGCATATCAATATCTATTCAATTGTCACTCTAAGATATCTGATTCCATGTAAACTGGTTATATTGTATGAAAGTTAATATAAAATCTTCTTTTGGATGATAACAAACACAGTAATTTGCATTTAAATAACAATGCAAGCAGTCATGAATACAACAAAACAACATTATTTGCATTTAAATATAGATTTATAAATGACAGGTATACTCTATTGTTCAGCAGGAATTTGTTATTCTTTACATGTTGTTCTTTTTTCAGTAATGTATTTTTATGGTAATTTCTACAACAAAGTCATTAAATTGTGCAATTCTTACCAGATACAGCCAGTAGAGTGTTAGCATCAACCGGAATGGCCCATTGTGCTATTCCTAGAACAAACAGTTCTCTCCAAGCATCTTCCAAAAGCATCAGCTGTCATACAATAGATGTATAATATAATATAGTGTGTAATTTATAAATTTACAAACAATTTCAATATGTAAATTTCTATTATTTTAAAAGTGCTTTAAATGCCTGTCTCGGTAATTTTTCCTCTGAATACTCTAGCTCTCCCTTGTTCTTCTTTTTGACAAGGTGCCTATAGAGAAGCACATGCACTGGAGAGTCAGCCATTTGAATTGCCCAAAGTTTGCTTCCCTTGGGAGCAGGTTTACCCTTCTGGTCTTCCCATCCTTTTGCTCCCAACCACCTAGAAACTCCTCCCAGAGACCCAGGCTCAATGAGGTACCACTGGCATCTCAGCAGGTGGATTCCCCTCGTATAAAATGCTGCTATGATCAGGGTTGATGTTTCCAGACTAAGCTTGCAGATCTGGGCCCCTATCTTCCTGGTGGGTGTAGGGGGCTGGGTGGGTGGGGGAGAGAGAGAGAAAGAAAAAATCATTAATTCCCAAGAGGCATGCAGGGAAATCAGGGTGTAATTATGTTAATCGGGTTTTGCTGAGTTTACCTCATCTCACTGCCTGATTTTTCTGAGACTCATAAGTGGACAGCATCAAGGTGCTTGTCATTCTCATTCTAATAAAATGTGCTACTGAATATTTAAAATGAGAATGTGGCTCCTTTTCCACATGGATGTACTGCGTTCCACTTCACGGCAGTTTGCTAGCTGTCAGAGGGTTTCTATCGGAGGGCTGAGTGGCAGACAGCAAATAAATTTTGCTTGAATTAAAGAGTCTACAAATACTTGTTTTGAGGGGAAAAATAGCCCATTTACACACACACACACACACACACACACACACACACACACCAGGGAATGATAGAGCCAACCAGTAAACCTGGTCAGGGATAGAACCTAACCATCTAGAAAAATCTGTTTTTTGAAAAATCTATAAAAATTCAGCCAAATCTGGATGATTTATGTGAAAAGATTTCCTTTTGGAAGCTAAGAGCTAAATTATGAAGGCTTGCAAACAAAATTAAAAGGTTTAACTTTCAAAATGTGTTATTTTTACTTTTACTGCATTGAGCACTAAAAAAAGAATGATTTAAAAATGCAAGGTGAACAGTATCTAATTCTGGCCATATCTGAAAGTCCAGGTCTTGAAAAAAAAGAACGTTCCATGCTAGAAGATTAGATGTTTTTAGCACATTGCCAGGTCTCTCTGTAGGAAACGTACTTCATATTAAGGGGCACTATTATGCTTTAATTAAGTATAAAATGAATTACAGAAATAAATCCCTTTAGAACTGCTTATTAGCCTTTTGGGAAATTTGTCATTAATTCTCATGAATGTGCTGGTAACAGCCCATGGCTATGAATACTTCATTTTCTTCCATTCCTTTAAGGTTAGAAAAACTCCGGCAGAGGCCATTTCGGATACCCCGAACAACAAAATTTCTGGGTGTCGGGACACTGCAGGTTTTAGCACAACAAACTTTTACTGCCTCAGAATGTCATTTACAAGCACAGAATTATGCACAATGCTTATTTGTTAATGAACCTCTGAAAGCACTGAAAGCATCAAGGGAGAACTCAGCTCACAGGAAGTGCGCAATGTGCCCTTTCATCCTACACTCGGGTAAATTAGTGGCCAAAACTGTATCACAGTGGACAATACAGAGCTGTGATTAGAGAATACTAAAACTACTTCCAAAAATCTCACAGGAGAATACTCTTCCATTTCCATTGGAACTCTCAGTTCCAATGTACTTAAGGAAACAATATTTTATTAACAGTTTTAAAAATCATTAAGAATTTGTGATTAAATTTGATGTTTCAATTAAACTAAAAAAATAATGATGTTCTTTTGCTTTACATAGACCAGATCCAACTTTTCTGAGTTAACATAATTATATTTCTTTTTAAAAATTTTTATTTATTTTTATTTTTATAGAGCACGGAAGGAAAGGAGAGCAGGAGAGAAACATCAATGTGTGGTTGTGTCTCTCACATCCCCTACTGGGGACCTGGCCCACAACCCGGGCATGTGCCCTGACTGGGAATCAAACCAGCAACCCTTTGGTTTGCAGGCCCACACTCAATCTACTGAGCTACACCAACCACAGCATAATTATATTTCTTAGTAAGAAGAAATTTGTTCTTAAGATCTGATGTCTGACCTTGGCGATTTATCCAGGTAACCTACAGGTTCATAAGACTGACCCCCGTTGCTTCTTCCCAACTTCCGTCCCCCAAGACCTTCAGGCCCTCTTGGTCATACCTGGTCTTGCAAAGACAGGGTGGAGAAAGCTGGTACACTCTTAGCCCACTTGATACTCATAAACAGAAGCCTGGCAGCTGATTCACACACTGACTCTGTGGCCACTTCATAGAGATACATTGGGGTCCCATTTACTTCATGGGGGTACTGGGTGGGGAAGAAACAGAGACACCAGAGAGTGAGGAAACCACAGCTTTGCAAGAAGAGCCAACTTTTTCATTTTCTAATTTGAACACAGAAGGAGAAAGGAATTTGGATATTCGGCTCAAATGGGCAGTTGCCATAGGGGGGTATAAAGCAAACGTCTACATTTACAGAGTTTGGGAAATTGCTGGGAGAGACCTATTTCCACTCTCTGTGGGCCTGTTCCTTCCAGAGGGGCATCTGGCTTTTCTATCCCCTGTAGCAAATTTTCCTTGGGCTGAGACAAGTGCCAGGCCTGTCTCCCAATTTAGACAAGAGCTGCTTGCATTTGTGTAAATAAAAATAGATGTGAAAAAGTATAAATTAATAAGCATCCCAAACACAAATATGCATATGAGTATTTTTAGAAAGGATTAGTATATTATGGAAATATTTCAATTAGACATCTTAATCATTCACAGAACATTCCCATTCATAACTGACAACATATTCATAACACTACTTTCCCAAGCTTATTATACACATCAAGGGTAAGGAAGCAATATTAAATATTTTGCGTGCATGTTTGCCCAGGTGTTTGGCTTCCCTGCAGTGTGGGGCTGCAGCTGGCCCTCCTGGGGGGAGATCCAGAGCCCTTCTTGGCCTGGAGTGGGGCCTCTGGGTAGGTACCAGCTGGAAGCCTGAAGGGTAGTCCCTAGGTGGCAGCTTTTTTAGGTGGTTCTGGCTCCGGCCCTGCCAGTAGAGGCTCAGTCCTGGAGTAAATCCATGCTGCTCAGAAGAGAGTGAGGGGAGAGTGAGAAATGAAGGAAGGTTCCTCAAACTGTCCCAACAGGGTGAGTTTCAGATTCCTCCCCTATGTTAGGGACCCACAGTTTTTCCCAAGAGAATAAATCCCTGAGATTTGCAACTCAGGGACTCTCCTGCCAGCTCTAAGCAACTCCTTTCTTCTCCAAAGAAATGCCTGCTCTCTGGCCCCCAGGAGAGATCCCAGGCTGCCCTCTCAGTTCAGTCAGGGCTCCCCACCAGCGCGTTTTCCAAAAGTGCATCTTCCTTCCCCTGCACTCACATCAAGCTTGCTGAAAGGGGCTCTCTGGCAGATAGGACTGGAAGTCCATATTTGTAACAGCCAGAGAGTAACTTTACTATATACTAAAGTCCGAGCACCCTCAGCTCAACCGGGAAGAGCTGAAAGGCCCAGAGCTCCCTGCAGGGCTCTATCAGTAACCTTCAAGTTCTCTCTATCTTTTGCCTGACCCCATCCCAGTTCAGAAGGAATGGGTGCCCCTCTCATTTCCCTCCCCTTGTCACCAGACTCCCAGGAAGGCCACTAACCTTGGGCGTGGGCTGAGCCAGGCTCACAAGGGTCTGCCTTTCCGGGGTGGTGGACACCGTGGCCAGCTCGAGGCCATGTGGCTCCAGTTGCGTGACTGTGGTGAAGAAGGCCGGCGCGGGCAGCGCTGCAGAAGGGAAGTGTGCGGCTGCCCCATTCTCTTCCTTGTGTCCACGGAAGTAGAGGGCCACCTGCTTGCGGATGGTGGACGTCCGAGGTCCCCGTTCATGCTGCACAGCTGCAGAGACAAATGGACACACACCTGGGATCAGAGTCTTGGCGACACTTAGCCCTGCTGTGCTGCAGGGCCAAACACCAGGTCAGGGCAGGCAAGGCCACCGGAGAGGTGAGGAGGGAGAGGAATATGGGCCCTCTTTGATCATCTGAAAGCTCCACTGTACACTTTGGGGAGGCTGCGAAGAGGAGCTCAGCACAAAGTATCAGGATAACGACATGTCTCCAGCAAGACTAGGTGTGTTCTTTGTCCATTCAAGGCTCCTCCCCACACAGGGGGGTCTCAGGCACACACAAGAGGGACTAGCTGGGTATCCTGGTCCACGGCCTAGAGGAGAAAGGGGCACTACGTCTCTGCACCGACCTTTCCCAATTGACCCAAGGATGGTTCTCCCCACCTCCACCCCGCCCATGTGGAAATGTTGTTTGGCCTCTGAGGGCTGCAGGGAAAAAGGACCTGAGCTCAGGGACACTGGGGGATGGGACAAGTGAGAGCCTGTCTCAGAGTGTGCTGGAGGAAGGCAGGGGAGATGTGACAATTACCACCAACAGTTTAAACAAACAAATTAATTCAGGGCAATCTTCCCCTCGCCTAGCTTGACAACTTGTCAATACACAAGTTCAACAGGTTGGACGCTCCCTCCTGCTTCCTGGGCCTCGGAGGAAGGCGCTCTCCCGGGTGAGCACTGTGCCTCCTAGGGCTGCCACCTGGGCCACTGCGACTGCACCCTGAGCTGAGGCCCCATTCCTCGCTCAGGGCCCTTGCTCCCCCACCTGGCCCGGCCTGGGATGCCCTAGCCAGGCCATCACACTGCAAACACATGCCTTAGTTCTTGCTGCACACGCCTTTAAGAGCCTTTCTGGGAGCTGGGTGTCCGAGGCACTCACAGGTGTCACCCAACCTTTTCAGCCCCTTTCTGCAGAGCCAAGAGAAAGCCTCGGAATAGCCCAGGTTACCACAACGAGGGTCCCAATTTTGGAATCTTGCTGATTCTCCAAATAGGGACTCAAAATTCCAGGTGACCCTCCCACCTCCCACACTTCGTCTCCTAGTCCCCACGACCTCCTCCTCCCCTGGAGACTATCCAGACTTCGAGATCCTGCAGGAGGCTAACAGGCCCGGGGGTGGTTACAAAAGGGCTGTAAGGAGAGGTGAAATGAGGAATTAAGATGGGAGGCAGGAAATACTGCCTGTGTCTACAGCAGAGAGGGGTCCCAGGAGTGCTGCCTTCTTGGGGGTGATTGTGGGGCACAGGTTTCTTATGTGGGCATGAGCCTTACCCTAGGCAGTTCATCGGGGTCAGGAAGGAACTCTCGCTGGAAGATAGGGAAGGATAAGGATGAGGCTGAAAGCCTGAAGCCAATTCCTAGCATCCAGAAAGAAGTGCTTGGGAAATGGTTTACAAGCATAAGAGTGCCGTGTATTTTCTGTACGTACAATTTACTTATTAATCAACGTAAGAAGAGTAAAAAGATGTACTAATTACCATCTTTGTTCATGTTGACTTCCAAACACTTCTTGAGCCGACACGCCCTGCACTGGTTTCTGTGCGTCTTGTCCACCGGGCAGCCTCCCTAGAAAAGAGCGCAGGCTGTCAGCGGCCCCGGACCTTCAGGCTGGCGACGCGAGGCCGGCGCTGGGCCGGGGAAACCGGGGAAACTGGCGTGGGGGTGGGAGGAGGCGGGAACAGATCCGGCCACCGACCCCTGGGGCCGTGAGGCCAGGTCCCTGGGCACCAGCACGACCTGGTAGAGGAAGGGCTGGGATTCCCGGGATTACCTCAAGAGGCCCAGCCCATGACCCTGTGAAAGTGGACAAGGAGGAAAACCCTTCTCCAAGCAGGCGAAGGGTCACCTCTCCTGGTTTGCCAGACTCTGCTGTGCGCGGAGAAGCTGCGGAGGGGAACTTCCGCGAGGGGAGAGGGTGGTGACGCTAGGAGGCGGCTTTTTCAGGACCAAAGACAGCGACCTGGCCCCAGCGCTCCGTCGGGGACTGGCTGGTCCGCCAGTCTCCCGGCACTGCCCCCCCTCCCGCGAGCTAACTTTCCGCTCCCGGTCTTAGTCTACTTTTCTGGGTCACATAAGTATCTCCTATTTATTCTTTACTCTCCCGTTTCCGAACTCTTGCCTTTGTGTTGAAAGCCATCCTTAGAACCAGCATGGCGAGCGTTGTCTTACAGCCTAGTCTCAGCCCTGAACCGTGCACGCACAACCATTCCCCGAAGCTGAGGCAGAAGCCAGGGTGCGTAGGAGGGCAGCACCCACAGAGCAGAGGGTGGGAAGGGAGCAGGCCAAGGCTAAGATGAAACCCAGAAGTGCCCACCACGGGAATATGACCAGGAAGAGACTGTGACGGCCTGTCTAACAAAAGGACCATACAGGCTGAGAGTATTAGCAGGATAACTGAAAAATGAGGCAGTTGCTGCCTTGGACATATTTATCTGAGACACGTGAGAAAATAAATATTTTACCAAATGCAATTTTATGAGAAAATGCTGGCCATTGAAGGAAGAAATTTACAGAGAAAGTTTCTTATGGAATTCATTCAGTGTTAGGTGTTACTCCTGAGAAAACACATAAAAATCTGCATATATATTTTATATACAGAAAATACATAAGTTAGATGCTCTCTTGTGCTTATGAGATGATACTGTTAAATTTGCAATGGGAAGAAATATAGTGAAGTAAATGCATTTTTATTTTGCTTCATAATATCAAAATTTCATATATGCTGAAGTTGGACTAAGTATATTTTCTAAAATGTCCCTTTGGAAAAATTACACACTAGAAAACACAGTTTTATAATATCACACCCCTCTGATTTAAAATATAGATTTATTTAAATAAAGGTCGGGCATGGATTCATGACAATTTCTAAATGTCCTCACTGCTGTTAATAATAACCTGGAATACTATTCACTCAATCTTCAAATAAAGGTGAGAAGAAAATAATTTTTGGTTCCCGAGTGAATTCTTTAGGGCATCTTGGCTGGCCTGTGCAGTAGCTCACTGTAAAGAGGTTTGAAGAACTTATTGAATGTAGTCATCTGTCTGTCCTCACACATTATTCCCCTAGTGTTCTATTGACATGTTAGTACAAAATGGAAGCCTTCGTTAGTTTTTAAGAGTGTCTTCAAACCAGATCATATATATGTGAATATCTAGAGTGGGAGAGAAAAATGAATTCCTCAGCCTGGGCCATTCATTCTCTCTACAAGGAGAGAACCACCAAGCCTGATGAGTCTATTATCACTCCTTTACAAACACTTGGACTGGCATCAATATAAATTGATAGCCAACTTCTTTGAAAATATCAAGCATAACATCTGAGGTTTTGATTTCCCAATTCAGCGCATTGCATAAAAGTAACAGACAATTTAAGTGGAAGCCTGCTCAAATTTGATGACCCCAGTGACCCCAAATCCCTGCAAAGCCACTGGGATGCAGGCCTGTGAGTGTGCAGTGTGGTGCACCCACATGGTGAAGCTAGAAACTGATCCAGAGCTGTGAACCCAATTAAACAAGTGACAGGACTGGAAAGTTCCGAATTCGTTTCCCAAATGCAGATAGATGTCTTCTTGTTCTTGTTGATAATCCAAATCCACCAGAAACTGATACAAGCAGACATGGCTTCAGCAAAAGAATAATTCACTAACATCATGTATGTCTAAGTATGTATGTGTATCATATTTATACATATAGGTTAACTAGTGAAGATGTTTTACCATTTTGGTTACCAAAGGATGACTTCTGACTAAAAAGCTCTCCGGGATCTCCTCAGATCTCCGCCTCCTCAAGAGTCAGGCGGGTGGCGCTGTGCTGAGGGTCTGTGTGCCTGGCTAAGGAGAAGGCAAAGTGTGGGACCGGAAGCCTGAGCCCCTAGGTTGAAATAAGCTTATTACTCAGCTGTGACATGAGTCAAGGGGTTCTGTTCACTCATCCGGGAAGCTTTGGCTCATGCTCAGCACAAGCCCCAACTCACCTGTTTCTTTGAGACAATTCAGCCTGCCTAAGACCAAAACAGAACCAGCCAGGCACGTCTTCTAAGCAGAGAAAGAGGAGATATGGGGACCTGAGAGAAGGGCCCAGTTCCTCCTTCCTTGGGAGCCATCTCTTTTCTGTTCAGTCTGCCCTTTTCTGACAAGGCTCAGCAAGAGTCAGAACAGCCCTGTGTCTCCAAAGTTGAAAGGGCACAGCCCCTCACAGAGCACATCCTTTCTGTTCCAGTGGCTAAAACTCACTTTGAGTCTTGACCTTGACCAGGATGCCCTGTGCCTTTTACTTCTGTCATCCCAGGTAGTGGTCGAGGCACTGGGCTGCTAGGATGGGGGCGTGGTGGACACACGGCACAACCTAGCCCTTTCTCTCCAGCTTACACGTGAAGTGTAGATTCTCAAGTCCTTAGTTTCCTTAGGTCCCCTGGTCAGGCTTTATAGTTACTGAGTGTGGGCCTCAACTAGTGTCAAAATTAGAGGATTAATTGTGTGGTGTGTGTGTGTGTGTGTGTGAGAGAGAGGGGGGGGTGACACTGGGGTTTCAGACTTCCCACTGTAAACTCATTGTCTTCCCTTACCACCACCCCCAAACCCCCACACTGCCCTGCCTTACCCAAGGGGAAGGGCCTCCAAGAGTTGAGTCAGGAAAGAGAGGAAGGGAGAGGTCAAGGTCTGGTCTCTCCGGAGCAGCCTGGAATCTCCGAGGAGAGCCCTTTGGCACAAACAAAGGAGGGGGAGGCAGCAAAGGGGAGCTGGGTAATGCAGCCTGGCTAAGGTACCTGGTTTCCAGATTTGCAGACATACGTCCTATTCCTTCGGATACTCCGTTTGAAAAAACCCGAGCAGCCGTCGCAGGCGTAGACCCCGTAGTGTTTCCCGGAGCTGCGGTCGCCACACACTTTACAGGGGATATCTAAAATGCGGCCTGAAATCGCACAGAAGACAGGGAAGGGGGGAAGGGGCGAGGAGGGCGGAGGAGAGGGAGGAAAGGGGAGAGGGAGAGAGAGATGCTAAGCAATCTGACCTCTGAAGGGATTAGCACCGAAGCTGCGGTAAAAGCAAATAATGAAGTGATTTTATAGCCAAACTTTTTTTCCTTGAGCAAGTGTCAGTTTCCTACAATGAGCATTATTCATGCACCGCTACGTGTATTTGGGTCTCCTCTAATCGCCGAGACCCATTTTGGAATAAAAGATTACAGCAGGCCGAGGCGGCAGCGCTGCCCGCCGCTGCCTTTCTGCTCCGCGGAAAGTTTGGTCGCCTCCCTCCCCCGCTCCTGCTTTTAACAGAGAAAGTTGTTAGTGAAGCGCGCGAGGAGACAAACTTGAAATGTAAAAGGAACCAGAAGAAAAACAAACACGGCTGGAACCAGGGATGGCAGCTGGAAGGCAATCGAGTTTTCTCTGAGCTGCCGGGCGGTTGTTATTATGAGGATTATTATTGTAATGCTAATACTAGGATTATTAATGATAATAAGGGTAGTGGTAATTGCCCAACTTTCGCTTTACCTATTTTTTTAAATGCTTGGTGGACTGCTTTTGAGAAATTATGTCGTTTAGGAAAAAATTTCCTCCCCAAAGTAACTAGAGAGCATGGGACTAGAGGCAAGTCGGAGAAGGGTGATTGATGAGCGTGTGAGATTTCCTGGCCAGGTGGGAGGGACAGCACCCTTTCTCCTTCCATCTCCCAGCTTCTTCCCGAAAGACCCGCCTCCTTCTGGAGCCTCTGGATCTCTTCCTTTCTGTCTTTCCACTGCTGTCCGAGGCTAATGTTTTACAGGGTCTGACTGATTTTTCTAAAGCCTCCTCCCTCCACACACACTCCCATGGACCTCTAGAGTCGCCAGGTTTAAGAGAACTTTCCTTGAAATTCCCTCAAGCCTGGGGTGGCTGCGGCCCTGGCGGAATGTAAGGGATGACATGATATTCGAAAATTCAGTAGGGAAGGGATTATTTTTCTCTAAGAGTAGAGAAGAGTACAACCAGCCTGGAGTGCTTTACAGGAACTTGGAAACCCTTCCTCCTACAGAGGGAGTATTAAATAAAGTGTTAACTTAATTAACACTTTAATGATAATGATGTTAATAATAATTAACTTCTTAACATTTAATTTTCCTTTCGGTACACGAAGGCCTGTCCGGACCCCTGCAGCCTCAGGCCTGGGTGAAACTTGACCGCTGCCCCCTGGGGCGCTCAGGCTGGAGTGAAGAGGGGCAGGGGTGAGAACGGGCGGGAGGAGTAGAGGTGGAGAGGGTGCGGCGGGGACGGCCCCCCTGAGACGTCGAAGGTGGAAACTTGCCGGAGGATTCCGAGACGTCTGGGCGAGCGCGCACCCGATGCGGTGGCCTTGGAGAGGCCAGGCTGGACAGGGAGGGAGGAGCGAGTGGGCGGGGGGGGGGGTGGAGTGGGAGGGGGCTCGGTAACCACCAGGCTCGGCCGGGGTAATTACAACCCCGCCGAAGCACCTGCCTATAGAGCCACCAGTGACCCGTCAAAAAGAGTAGCATGGGAATTCGGATGGCGACAAAGGCCCGCAGGGGAGGCGCGCGGCGCGGCGACCACCGCCTGTGCGCCCCCTCTCCCGCAGGGTGGGAGGAGAGATTTGCTGGAGGAGGGGCTGGAGAGACCGCTGGGCGGCCGCAGCGAGTCCTGTCCCTCAACCCCTTGGGCCTGTCACTGCGCCCGAGGCAACTCACGGCCACCCAGCGGGCCGGGACTCGAGCTCTGCTGCTCTGGCTTCAGTCCCCAGGTGCAGTAAATCTGGTTTCCATAATTTGCAACCATCCTCTTGTGCATAACACACCCCCCTGCCAGAGCTAGGGTCCACGTTTGGAATCCCGCCGCCCCAGATGTCCTCTTCGTCCCCCGGGCACTTTTGTTGATGCCAAGATGAGCGCGCAGGAGGAGCAATGGTCGGGACACACTCTCTAGAGAACCCCGACGGGGTGGAAGAAGGAGCCGGCTCCCGCTGGCGGGGCTCCTTGACCGTAGTCCCCCGGGGCCACCGCGGCTGCGGGTCGGCCCTGCTTCTGCGTAGACTAGGGCAGCTTAGACCCCCGCTGCCCTCTTGGGGCCGGGCACAGGAGGGTGGGACGCAAAAATTCCAGAGCCTATCGAGTCTGCGCTTCAGACTCCGCTGCCCTGCCACGTTAAGGTGATTTGGGGTCACGAGACAAGCTGGTTGACCCCCTTGCGAAACTCCTCTCATTTAACAAACAGAGCGAGCTCCGACGTGAGGCGAGCGGGAGTTTCCTGAAACTGCAAAACCGTTCTTAACTTCCCTCCCCAGGGGTCCCATCGAGGCTTTTTGTGTGTCATAATTGCCTAAAGATATATGGCAGCTTCGATTACTGTAATTACCATCAGGGGCTGTTGAAAGAAGTTAGTCCGGGCTGCAGGGGTGACTGACCGGGGTCTTGTTACCACCCAGGCGGGGTTCCCGGTTGACAGCGTACTGCTCTCCAGCCGCGAAAGGCCGCGCGCGGCAGGGGCTGCAGACCTCGCGGCCTGGAGGGGCCCTGACCTCGCCCGCTGTGCGCCGACCTCCTCGCCTCCCGGGGCCCGCGGGCCGCAGGTTTCGCGCAGGGCTGCCGCCACTGCTCTGCGAGGGCCCGGCTGCAGCGGCGCCACGGGCGGGAGCTTCGGTCTTTCCAGCCAGAGAAACCTCAACAGCAGCAGCTGGACCTGCGCAGGGGGACTCGAGGCTTCCGAGGCCAAACCTGCCAGGCTCTCGGGAAGTTGGAAATCTTCCAAGTTTCCCCGATGCATCGCTCACTCTTTTTTTTTCTGAAAGCTCTGAGGGTCCGACGCGTCCTAGTCCTCTGCACGCCGGCGGGCCCCCAGGGAACCGGCTGCGAGCCCGCCCCTCCTCTCGCATCCGAAGCCTCACCTTTCACGCACTCCCTCAACCACGGCGGCCCTTCACCCTCCAAGTGGGTGCAAGAGTCCCACACTAGTTACTTCCAGAGAAGGAGGCGAGGGGGCCTGTCACAGGGCGAGCGAGCAGGAGGCCTGCCGACGCCTGCCAGGGCTAGGGATTTTGCAATGAGTCTGGGAATGCAACGGGAAAGGTTTCTTTCTGCGCCTCCTGGAAAGGACCCTCGCACGAGGGAACATGGGCCACAAACCCCGAGCTCGCCTCCCTTCCCAGAGAGTCAAACAGGAGGCCAGGATAGGCCCGAGGCTAGAAACGCCAGTCCTTTTCAAGTGTTGGCTCTGATGCGGACTGCGATTATGTTTCCTTCTCTTTTCCCTCGGCCTAAATCTAAATATTTCTCCTTTTCTCTTTTTGTCCAATTTCATTTTACTCTAATTTTTAAAACGTCAGCGACCACATCAAAACAATCGGACAAAGTGAAAACAACCCACGTTTTGGGGGTGGGGGCGGAATTGCACCCCACAGCAGTGGGACTTGACTACCAGTTCTAAGAAGTGTTTCCGACTCTGCCAACTTTCAGAGTCGCGACAAAAAGGGCGAGGGAGGGGAGAAGAGGATGTTGTCGAGGAAAGCACGAATCGCCAAAAATGCCACAGGTGAAAACAGCAAGTGCAGCAGAACTACGGCACACGGAGACGCTGCGGCAGCCGACCCCACCCTCGGACCCTGGAAACTGCAGCCCCGGGACACCAGAAGGCGGGAGCTGAAATGCCTCTGGGAGACCCGAGCACTGCGGCCCTGCCGCCCAGCGCTGGCTCTGGCTACACGTCCTGGGTTCCGCAGTATCGGCTCACGCAAAGGCCCTTGCACGTCCACTAAGTCCTGCCCTAGGGCGTCTAGGGGCGGCTGCAGATCAGCCTTGGCTTGGCATGCCGAGGGACAGCCGCCAGCTAAGCAAGTTTGAAGGAGAGAAGCGCGCGAAAGGAACAGGCCGCACCTCCTGCCTCTGCCGAGTTCCTGCTCGAAAAGTCCTTGGGATTAGAGATTTGGTCCTCTCTTTGCAAGAACGGTTCGCCATACTTTAAATTCCCCAGTTGTGACTTACGCGGATTTAGGATTAAGGAAAATGTGACTTTTAAATTGTTTCTGCTTCCCAGTTTGCAGGATTATTTGCAAAAGCTATGAACAGGGTGCAAAGCATTCCATTCAAAATCCGCTTTTCGCAGAGTTGCTTCTGTGCGCCGGAGCTCTGAGTTTTGAGCCAGCGTGTTATCGTGCTGCTGCCTGGGGCTGGGGCCTACTTCCCGCCCCCATCGCCCCTTCCTCCCCACACCTGGCCTCCAAGTGGGGGGAACTTGCCATACTGGTGGGCTGGCTGCACGGGCCGCATCCTTCCCACCTTACCAGAAAGGGGTAGGGGACAGACTCAAGAAACTCAGGGGTAACGAAATTGTTCTGCCTTCACCACCAAACGCTCCGACTCACAGTCTACAAGGAGCTGGGCCAAAGCGCACAACGCTAACGGAGTACCTCTCTGGGGTTCGGGGCGGCTGCGCTCTGGGTAGGCTCTTCAAGGCCTCCCCGCCCGCCCGCCCCAGGCTGCGCGCCTGAGCCCCGCGGCGGCCCTAAAGGTACCCACTTGTTGATCCGGCCGGCTTGCTCATGCTTGCGGTCCCCGGGCGGAGCGGTTGGTGGGCGCTGCTCGAGTCCCGGCCGGCAGCGTCCGCCTCGCCGCCGGGCTCCGCCACTCTCCAGCCGCCCTCCAGCCTGCGAGGCTCCCGGGCTGGACAGGTGGATGTCGATCGCGCTCTGCGCTGCTCCCCGGGAGCTCAGAATTCGTTCCACAGTGGAAATTTAAGCATCCTTAAGTTTCTTCCCGGCTCTTGCAAAACTGCAGCTGCTGGGAATGTTGCTTGATAGGGACACACGCATGAACAAACAAATGGAGAGGCGGACAAGCAGACCGAAAGAAGGGAGAACAAGAGAGGGGTATTGAAGGACAGAGATGGAGACACGGAAATGGTCTTCCTACGGAGCAAGAATGGCAAAATCCCTCTCTTTCCCCATTCCTGTCTCTCAGTCTTCAGTTTCTCCCTCTACATTAAGCATGAAGAGTGTGGACAGATCTCTACAGACCGCTGGTCTTCTAAAGAAAGAAGGAAAACACAACCGCAGTCTCAGGCAGATGGGCTCGGCGCTGCCCAAACCCGAGCGCGTTGTGGGAAAACTAGATTGCCGGGAAGTCTTCCGAAGGAACAGGCGGCCAGGTCCTGATTTCCCGGGAGAGCCGCTCTCTCAGCGGCATAGGGTCCCCGAAGTTCATTACCCCGTGACTTTGTGCTCGTCGCGGCGGGCTGGGTCCGCTGTAATATCTCCAGAAGCGCTCTGACAGGCAGCCGCGGGGAGGGGAATAGGGCGTCCCTGGCCCACTTAGCTTTTCCCCCAACTCCTGGCGGGGTCTGACGTCAGCCATGTGCGGGGAGGGGATGGGAAAAGGGAGGGGGTTAAATGCTAATGATATTAATGAACCTCCAAGCGGCTCCCGAAGAAAATGCAGGCACTCTTGAGGCTGAGTTAGAGTGTGAATATAGGAGTGTGGTTCTGTGTGTGCATGATGGTGAAGAAGGTGCTGCTCTTGTAATAAAAATGAGTTATTATATTTCCTGGCAAAAGGGAAGGGGAGAGGAGATGGAGCTTTCTCAGAACCCGTTTCCCCTTCTCTCCAGAGTGCCAGACAAATTCATGGAAGAAACTGGGTGGCCGTGTATTTGAGTCCGATGGGGCGCGCCGGATGTGGTGAAGTGAGTTGGTCCCTTCTTGGTCCCGCGCCCCTTCTGCTGGGTAAAACTTGGATCTGGCCCGAGGTGAGTAATTATTCATTTGTAACTATCTATGGAAAGTTAAAGCTAAGGACGCCGTTTGGGAACTTGGGGCTGGGATGGCGTCTGCCGGAGGCTTCGAGCTCCTTAGGCCTTCGCGCTGTCCGCTTGGGCACCAGCCGCGGGGAGGGTGCCGCCCGCTTCCCAGAGCAGAGTCCCTACGGAGCCAGGAGAAACTCCTGTTACCTCCACTATCTGCACTGGGGTGGCTGGAGGGCAAAGCTTTTTCTCCTGCGGCTTGTTCCCCGTGGGCTTTGCTGGCTCCCTCTCTCCAGGCCAAAGGATTGTGAAGCGCTCCTTCGCCTCAGCAAGCTTCTCCCATCCCCGCCTGCCGGGAATTCCTGTGCTTCTCGCGTCCTGGTTCCTGCGCAGCGCGGGGAGAGCGCACGCCAAAGCAGCCGGTGAGATTCTGATCGCCTAGAGATTAATTCTTATTTAAGCTCTCCCAGACGCTTGAACTTGTCGAACTAGGGCTTTCCAGCCTCTCCTCAGGGCGTAGGTCCGGCCAGAGGTCAGGGGTCACGCCTTGTGCTCGCCAGTCCTCCACCGCGCGTTGGCCCCCCGCGAGGCGGCGGGGGCGGGGGCTCAAGGAGAACCCAAGCCAGTACTCTGCAGTTCTGCCCGCTCAACCTCAGCCCCACTGTCTTCAGACTCGTTGTCAAACCGGTCTTTTGATCAGAGTAGGCGTGTACAAGTGAGTGTTTGCAGGTGTCCTCCGCCCCTCCACTTCCCCAGCCTCAGCCCTCAGAGGGCGCAGCAGCTCCGGGGCAAAGGCAGCTCAGGGCACAGGTTGTGCGCTCCGGGCTGCGGCGGCAGCAGCAGCAGCAGCAGCAGCAGCAGCAACAGCAGCAGCAGCACGTGACTGCAACTTTCTGTAGCGGCCTGGGCTGGGCCTGGAACGCCGGGCCGCGCACACCAAACACATCCAAGCCCGCGGTCCTCTCTAGTGTCGCGCAGCCACCAGGATTCGAGGGCTGCGGACATCCAGAAAGACCAAGAAGGCGGACGACTATCTCCTAAATTACCTATCCTCGGTTTTTTGAATTGAAAAAAGATGAGGGAATGATGGGACAAAGCCATAAATGAGGTTTGTTTGTTTGTTTGTTTTCCAGGAGGCAGGACAAGAAAACAACATTTTTTGACAGCCAAGTTGGGCAGACGCTTGAGCAGAGCTAGTCCCGCCGGCGACACAGCGCACACTGGAACCCAGTACTCAGAGAAGGAAGTTATTTCCGGGCGGGGTTTTAGACTCAGTTACCGCTGAGCCACCGGGCATTCTGGTTCCCGCCAGAAACCCAGTTGCCGCCATCACCGCCACCATCATCACGTGGACTCAGAGGGTGGGTGGGGGTTAAAGACAAAGAGCTTCAAGAGTCCAAGTAACTTATCTGGAGCGAAGAAGAAGGCCGGAGTCACAGTAGACCTTGGCCTGTCTCGCGGGAAACATTTAGGAGTCTGTGGTGAAAAGGAAATCTAGAAGTCGCTTCGCGGGTGCAGGGGCTGGCAGGTAGGAGGACTGTGGCTGTTGAGGGGTCCAAACTACACCTGGCCATACTCTCCCACACTTTTACCCTGCTGGTGTATTTGTAGGCATCAAAACTTTGGGGAAATACTTTTGAGGCTCACCAAATTGTTTCAAAATCAAAATGGGAATGTTCCTCTTTCTCCTGATACCAGCACCTAATCAAGCAGAATGTCAATAAGTCCACTGAATAGAAACACATAGGCGCATGCGCGAGCGCAAACACACACACACACACACACACACACACACACACACACACACACACCCCAGCCCTGGCAAAAGGCGCATACACACACCCTCAGCATGTTCCTACTGCGTTCTGCCCTCCCAGCTGTAATTATCCTCGCGCTTTGCATAAATCACAATGCAGTTCTGAAATCATCATGATGACTTTCTGGCATGATCGGTTTGGTGGCAATGGCAGCGACAAGATCCAGGGTAGGCGGGAGGGGCTGGGGCTTGGAACCCACCAGGTCCAGGAGGGGCCTTGAGCCAGAGTGCTGGCCTGCTTCCACTCCCTTGATGAGAACTGCTGCCGGCCACAGGGAACTGGGATCTAAGGTGTAGAGACCTGGGGGGTTGGAGTAGACCCCCAGGGTCTACAGCCTGTGTAAGGCAGGGACTGTAACTTTTTATCCTCCCACCTGCAGGCTCCAGTACACTGCTTGCATAAATGGTGGGGGAATGCATGAAGGAGGAACGTCCCCTGCAGATTTCCCAAGAAGCTTTTGGAAGCACAGTAAGGCCAAGCTGACTGGAAGCCAGAAGGTGGGGGTTCAGATTCTGTCCCAACTAGCTGTGTAAATCTGGGCAAGTGACTAGACCTCTCTGGGTGCCAGATCCTTATATGTAAGAGGACTGTGCCCTGTTCAACCTTAACTTTCAAAGATTTTTCTTGTGAGTCCACTAAGAAAAATGGTTGATAAGCAACCAGTGCTGCCTATCTCAGATATATACCTTTTGACAGAGGCAAGATCTTCAGTTTATAGCAGTGATTTTCAACTGGTGTGCCACAAGAATTTTCAATATATGCAGTGCCTGACTATTTCAGTCAGGGGCACTGACCTCTTTTCCCTTTGATTGTCAAATTAAAAAATGACATCTGTATGAAGGAATCAAAGTTATACCCATCTTGTCAGATTGGCAAAAATATATATTTTTCGATGTGCCTCAGAATTTTAGTAATTAGTGCCATGGGGTGGAAAAGGCCGAAAATTGCTGGTTTATAGAGTCGGCTTGGGAAGTGAGTGGAACCATACCCAACAGGTTCCTACACCCTTCTAAGTGCAAACATAGCCTCTGACTTCCTCGGTAGCCTCTTATGAGCCTCTTAGCTCTTGAACAAACCAAAGGCAAAAACACAGGGAAGGAATCTTTTATTCCAAGATGTTTACATTTTGGTCCAGGATATAAGAAATAAGAACAGGAGAAGGACCATGGAATTTAGGGGTCTCTATGTCCATCCCCCAATCCACCTCCTTTGTCAATTACTGAGCACCCCTTATGTGCCAGAGATTAATGACATGACCCCTCTCTCAAGGAGGTTACAGGGGGACCAGGCACATAAAAGATGGTAAGAGCTTTGGAGTAGACTAAAATGCAGAACTTTCTGGAAAGATACAAGGGATCCTAAACCAGGGTGGAGTAGGGCCGGCTGTCAGGGAGTGCCATGGGAAGCCAGACTTGAGTGGGGCAAATTTACTGCCTCTGAAAACTGTGTTGTATTGCAGCTTACTCTCCGGTTAAAGCCATTTCACATCCAGTTAAAAAGGGAAGTAGAGTCCTTTTAACTGGATTGTGTGAGAGGCACGGGAGTGCAGGGCACCACGATATCTGGGTCTGACCCCTATAGCTCTCAGTTCACTAGCTCCTCTAACATGTCATCTTTCTCTGTTACTGTCCCCCTGATGCTTCTAAATTAAGACAGCAAAGAAGAAGGAAAAAGCTTTCTCACCGGCAAGCAGAGCTGATGAAGTTGGTGTGGAAGAGAGGCCCCTTTCCCAACCAGCGATGACTCCCTGTCAGAGGCCATTCTAGAACCTCTAGAGCCGCATTCCTTTAAAATGGCCTTCACTTCACTGCTGAGTGGAGTTGAGAAATATTCAGACCAGAAAATGGCTGGGGAAACCTACCAGTTGAGCTTGGCTGAGGGCTGATGTTCCATCTCTGAAAGACACTGGTACAAGTTTTTATTCGTTTGTTTATTTACACGAAGGAGAAAGTTGGTTTTCATTTTCTTCCAAGGCATACTTGACCTGTGGTTGGTTGTTGCTTCCCCGAGTGGATGGAGAGTGAGAAAAAAGGTGGGCCACGGAGCACAGTGTCTAGCACACAGCAGGCGCTCAGTGAGGGCTTCTAAGTGACAACAAGAAACGGCCTCCTCAGGCTTGCTCCTGATTCTGCTGTGAACCTCTTTTCAAGCTGTTTGGCTTCTGTATAACTGTGCTCAGAAAAGAAACAGAACCGTCCAAAAGAGAAACACAGGTGTTTTAGAACCCCAAGAGTGCTGAGTAGCATAGTTTCTCCTTGACACTCTCCAGGACCGTGGTGACTAAGAGCTGTTGTTACTCCCCACCAGTGGGAAGACAACACTGTTCAGAGCAATAGTAGTAAGACCACAGTATGTGGGAGAGGCTCCTTCCCTCACCGCTTAACAAATAACAAATCATGCCCCTGCATTTATTCACGCTGTCCCTCAAGGTCACATCAGCAGCAGAAACTCAGGTCCAAGGGCAGACTGCTGATTGGCACCTTCTACAGGATCTCTGAGCTTTGACATGCTTTTTGCCCCAAGAATAATCAAATAGAAATATCTTCTCTCATCTGTTACTTTATTTCTTACATGAAATATTTTATTTATTGATATCCTGCCCTGTTCCAGGAAGAACGTACCATGGCTCTCCTGTCCGATTGGTTTAATTTGGGACCTGGGCTCCCTCCCTATCAGATGATTCACCTGAGATGTA